CCGGTTTAGGGTTTAGGCCTCGCTAAGTTTTTGTAAACCCTATCGCTATCTGGAACCGTCAGGAAATTGAACAGGACCCCACCCGACGGGGATCAGCCCTCAAGCCCCAAACAAGGAGCAACGAAGAGGCTGCCGCCAAATCCAACTCAATATCTGGAGCGAAGTCGATTATTGAAGTCGGAAGAAGTGCATGGAATCATTAACATTATTCACCAAAAAGTCCGTGCTAATTATAGCTATGCTACGAATATATCTCTCGAGCCCTACGTAGTCTTTTGACTATGGACCTATGTTTCGTAGTGGAGGCTTTTGCCCGGGCCTTCTGCTTCGGAGAGAGGGTCTGTGATAGGGCGCTTGATTTCCCGGGTCCGGGTTGAGGGTTTGAGGTTGTCGAGATTGAGTGTTTAGGTCTTTGGAGGTAATATAGAATCTTAGAAGCCTAAATAATACCATTATTATTCCTTAGGGTTTCTTGTTATAACTATACTATCAACGAGCCCAAATACCTATTCTTATTTTTAAGGCACCCTGCATTAATGTTGTTTCCTCAATTGCCATTAAGACCACATATTACACATGGGGTGCTGACAAGTTGCCATCGCTAGAATCGGAGCAGCTCCGATTTCGAACAGCGAGGCCTGCCTAGCTTTTGCAATCGGAACACAGAGCAGACACTAGACTAGCGTGAAGTGTCAGCACCTGAAATTGATCCACCCTACTGTGCCAACGCCCCCAAATTTCCGCGCCCTGCTAGGTACGTGGCCAAGTGAAGAGCACAGGCGTTCAGCGTGCGAACGTCGGGAGCCCCGATTGCTCACCTTGCTCCCCTGATTCCTAAGACCCTTCTATTGTGGGCCTCCCCAGACCCCCAAAAGGATCTAAAAAATAGATCCCCTAATTAGAGACCCTAACTACTAAAGGGTACTTTATAGGAACCCCCTTAAAGGATCTATTTTTTAGATCCTTTTGGGGGTCTGGGCCAGTGGTCGGATCTGAAATGCATGCACAAGCCTTCAAGAGACTACAGAAGCCTTTTCGAAAGCTGTACAACCACACCGAAAATCCTAATACCCCTAAACACACCCTAAACTCCCTTGAAAATCAGAAGCCCCAACCTTAAACCCCAAGCCCTTATAACAAGGTTCCTGATAAGATCCCTTTAAAACCCTCTAGCCTCTACCCTAAACCCCAAACCCTAAACCCTAAACCCTAAACCCCTAAACCCTAAACCCTCCTAGCTTAGGTTTCCATGTCATCGGAACCCTCTAGCCTCAAATCCTTCAAACGCTGGAACCCCCAGGGTGCGAAGGACCCAATAATCGGGTACTTAGGTTTCGGATAGTAGGTATGTAGGTTTAGGGTTTAGGGTTTAGGGTTTTGGGAGAGTGTTTGATTATTAGGTACTTGGACCCTTAAAAAAAAAGATTGAGCATCTAAGAGCAAAGGAGTTCTCTTTCCTAAACCCTAAACCCTAAACCCTAAACCCTTCCCTGAGGCCTTGCCAGAGGGTTGGATCGCACAGTCGGCGGCTGCTTACGGAGGTGCCGAAGTTGAAAGGGCCATCGGCCTTCTCATATGATATTTAAGTGGTTCCTTTAGTAATAAGAACAGCTCTAATGATCATAGATATCATCATCATAACCATAATCATAGTAATTAGTAAGAATGATGATGATAGTCATAGTAGTAGTGGTTAGGTAGGTTTTAGGGTTCCTTCAAAGGGGCAATTATGGTTCTGATGGTTTTGTTCAGTCCTTTGTTGGGCCGGCCCCCTTTAGAATGGGCTTAGGGTTTAGGCTTCAGTGTTGCAGGGGTCAAGGATTTGGGGTCGAGGGGAATTTCGGCTTCGAGTATTTGCAAATGAGAGTTGGGGGTTTAGGGTTTTGGAAGCTCCAGAATTAACGAGTTTGTGAATGTTGTTGTCCCTGCTTTAGAGTTGCAGATGTGTTTGTTTGTATGTTCTTTTTTTTTTTTGTGTGTGTGTGTGTGTGTTTATCTGTGCGTGTTTCTTGTAGGCACTGTCGCAGGCTTTACATGATTTCTCTACAATGTTTGCGGATTACACACAGTGCATGTTTGCAGTGAGGGGCGTTACTTTCTCTAGTTGTGGGTACCTTATTTGGAAGAATCCTTTCTGAGTTCTCATGCCTGTACACAGCTATGGCTTTTCCATGCTATGTGTTGCCTTTTTGTCCATGCTGTTCTGTCATCAGTAGTAGTGTGATGAATTTTGCATTGTGCTAGAAGTGTCGCCGTAGACGCAGATTGCTGCTGTAATTTGTGAGTTCCACTGCCCGGGTAAATGCTGACAGTTTTCTGCAGCACCACCAATCAGCAAGCCTGCAGTGCTCGCTACTATTACTACTGCTGCTGCTGCTGCTACTACTACTACTACTGCAACTGATACTGCTAATTTCTTCTACTACTACTGCTGCCACTATTCTTACTACTGCTACTCCTCCTAGTACTACTACTGCCACCACTACTACTACTGCTGCTACTACTACTACTACTACTACTACAACCACTACTATTCCTGCTACTACTACTACTACTACTACTACTGCTACTACTACTACTACTACTACTACTACTAGCATTACTACTACGAATACTACATACATTACAAACATTACCAGTAATACTAATGCTAGGTCTAATACTATTGCTAATACCGTTTGCTAATACTTATTCCATTTTCATCCTTATACTAACACTTTTTACTTCTTGTTCTTATATTCAGAAAAGTTATATATATATATATGTATATATATATATATATGTACATACACTACTACTACTACTACTACTACTACTACTACTATTACTTCTACGACCACTACTACTACTACTACTACTACTACTACTAGTGCTACTACTACTGCTACTACTACTACTACTACTACTACTACTACTACCACCATTGCTGCTAGTACCACAATTCGACAAGCTCCTGGTCTTAATGCTGCTAGCTTGTACTTTCTCCTCCTGCTAGCATGTATGGTGCTTCTGATGGTACGAGTAATGGCAGTCGCGTCCACAGCTACCCCCCGAACGCTTATGTATCATGGTCCTCGCATACGACTAACTGTCTATTGTCATCCCTGTTTGTATTCCCTGTACGGAATCAGGGGTCGACATTGAAAAAGGCATAGACCAAAACCGAAGATGTACAGTACTCCCCTCATGCTGTGTATATGGACCTGTTGAATCCGAATTTCGGATGAGCATACTAACATGCACGTGGGTTATGCTGCATCTGAACATCTTCTACACTCTAATGCTAGCATTCAGTCTGACGTTGTGCCAGCATGTAGCCTGAACTGCGTATGCTGCTTGCTCAAATACCGCGGCTTAAGATCAACCTTGTCCCTATGGCCCGGATATGCTGACGCGGCTATCATAAACGCAGGGCAAACCTAAGATCAACAGTACGATCAAGGATCGAGGAACTTGAAACTCAAAGAACCAAGGCCTCTAGGTATCCCACAATTAGGCTTCTCTTCTCGTGTAGAAATCCATCGTAATGGTTTCTGCATGGAGGTAAGGCTAGCTACATGGCCCCCCCTCCCCCCGGCAGGTGTTTGTGTCTCCATTGTGTATATATATATATATGTATATATATATATATATATGTGCATGTACACCTGCGCACACGCACGCATATGCGTAGATGTGCATGTGTTGATTCATGGTTGAGTGTATCCAGAGTAGCTGCGGCAGATGTGTAAGAACTACCTGAACAGCCTCCCTTTGTCTCTGTGCGTGTGCTGCTTGCCCTGATGTTGAGCAGCTCAGGCTATGCAAAGGCTATAGCGGCCCAAGCTTCACCGCAGGATTCAACAAGCTAAACCTTGAACCCTAAACCCCAAACCCCCTAAACCCCCTGAACCCAAAACCCCCAAAACCCTAAACCCTGAACACTAAACCCCCTAAACCCCCTAAACCCTAAGTCCTAAACCCCCTAAACCCCCCGAAACCCTAAACCCTGAAAACTAAACCGCAGGATTCAACAAATGTTGCCGTGGTCGGTATCAGCGCTGGGCGTGGCGTGAGCTCATGCGAACTTTCTACGTCCCGCAGGACACGCAGCCCTGAACTGTAGCTCCAGACCCGGTCATGCGTCTTAGTATAGGCCTTAAATAATACAGGGGCCTAAATAATTACCTATAATATTTTGGTGTTTTCTTGTGATAATTATAGAATAATCGGCCCCAAAACCCTATTCTAATTATTATAGGCCCCTACCGAAACGGCTCCATTAATCCCTGTTTACTTCAGCCCGCCTGGTGTGCAGGACATGCATCTTTATCGCCTCCATATGCCATTTGAAGGTGAGTTCAATTCCTTGCAGATGATTTCGTCCAGCGAAATGCTGGAAAAGTTGCAGGAAATTAAACTGACATGCTCCTGCTGTTGCTAAGCAACATGTTCCGCAGTGGCGTTCTTGTTTCAAGCATAGAAGCGTGGTTTCAGCACAACTGTCAGCCACAAAGCTACCCTGTTCATGCATCCATGGGTTTCTGATCGCCAGGCCCGAATGCAGATGTCGGCACCCAGCTGGTATGTATCATGTCATTTATACCTGTGAACACACGTTGCCACGTCCGCGAAGCCTCTTGACGTGGAAGCTCGGGGTGTTGTGGGGCGGAGCGCAATTGCCGTCCTTAGAAGCCTCCTTTGCGAGTTCTACGTTGATCCCACTGTCGTGGTTAGAGGTACACGGAATCGTGAAGTCACCCGGACGGGGTCTTCCTTTCGAAGCTTCCGAGACTTACGAGGCCCGAAGATGAACCCGAAATGGTAAGTTCATTGTTCCAGAGAGCACCGCAGGTACTACCCCTTGTTTTGAGAAGAATGGTCTGGTAGGTTCCTTGTTTTACTGACCCCCTATAAACGGTCCAAGAGTCTTCTAGAAGTCGCTCAACTCAACCGTTTCTAAGTCGACATTGCCTCAAACGCTAGATCCCAACCCTAAACCCTAAACCTTTCAGTTTGCCATGGTCGCGCACTCACCCTGGCTGTTTTGGGCCTGCTTGCTCTCCCTGTGCGCCGGGGACAAAGGCTTACAGCTTTGCCCTTCCAAAAATGTTACACCCTAAACCCTAAACCCGAAACCCTAAACCCTAAACCCTAAACCCGAAACCCTAAACCCTAAACCCGAAACCCTAAACCCTGGTGGAATGCTGTCGGGTTTCAGGCTTTTGGGGCTTCGAGCTCTGGGCCAAAGGAGCTTAAGGTTCAGTCTTTAGGTTTTGTTGGTGTTCGAGCCAGGGGTTTAGGGTTTAGGGTTTAGGGTTTAGGGTTTAGGGTTTAGGGTCATCTTCAGGAACGGAGTTCTTTGGGATTGTCTTGACTACTGGAAGTAGCATCACCCCATTTGTCAAGACCTTGTTGTAATATAGAAGCCTAAATAATTACCTATACTCTTTTGGGGGTTCCTTATTATAGTTTAGTATACCCCAAAACCCGATTCTAATTATTAAGGCCGATACATTAATTGAGTGAACCGGCTCTTACGCTGCTTTACATGCGGTGAGGCTCTAATGGGTCTGATTTCGTGGCCATACTTCGTTTGCCCTGTTTAGTTTGTCACAGCATCGGTAGGTTTCAGTCTGGCGCGTTGTTGATTTCGAGGTCTAGCAGAAGCATTTGTGCACAGCGTCCCCGAGATTTGTCCCAAGCCTCTGCTCCCCAATAGCCCAAACACGAAACGTGTGGTGTTATAGTATCAAGATTGGACACAGCAGGTGCTTGCACACATACATAAGCCCATTATTATACCTGTATCTGGAGTCTATCACTGCTGTGCATATTTTGTATCTGTAAGTATATCCGTATCCATATCCATATCTTTGTTTACATCATCCGTTTTTGATGTCTGTATCTGTACCTTTGTCTATATTATCTGTATTCACATCTATATCTGCATGCTTCATATACGTTTTTATCTAGAGCATCTTCATCTGCACCTTTCTCCATATCTATAATTTGTCTCTATCTATACCTGTCTCCATCTGTATAAATAGACATACAGCCACGCTTATT